GGAAGACTGCTCAAATTCATTGCCTATATACATTTTGGGGAGATTAGTTCTACCTCAGTGTCTTGGTTTCCAAGGACCATGGGTTTCTTTCAGCAAAACAAATAAAAAAGGTCTTGTCATTGCATAACATTCAGTATATTCTGAAAGATTGAATAAAATTGTTGCCTCATCACTAGAGAAAATCACTTAGCCTAACAATCTTCATTTTTTTAACGAGATTGAATTAATGTAGTCTTTAGGCACACCTGTGTCATAGTATAATATATTAATACGGGAAATGGAGCATAATACATGAAGCATCTGCCCATGTATTATGGCAAAAATGTATCTCAGAGTATTTCTGTAATGTTAATCACATCTTCTCTATATACAAAGCTGTGAAAATGTACTAAGATAAATATTAAGGATCACATGAACAAGTCTGGTAAATTCTAAAAGAATATTTATTTTATGTGTTTTCTCTTACAAAACAAGAACCAACACTGCTATAATTCTCTCCACAATAAGCTATGCCAATGCCCTTTCATTTCTCTGATACACATTACATTTTTCTTTGTAAATACCTACATTAAAGAGAACTGATTTCTAGTGTGTACCGAGCATATTGCATGTATTTCGTAAAGTTCACAGACTTAGTTTAAGTTCCTTGAAAAACATTTGGAAAATCTTAAAAATAAAAGCAAATCTGTTTTCATCATCTAGGAAGCCGTGATTTTAAAAAAAGATAAATATGTATAAATAAGTCCATAGAGAGAACAGTCATTAGGATGTGTTTCCCCCACTGAAATAGTAAGGCATAAAAGGTACGCATGCAAGGTGAGAGTACTGCATTTGTGAAAATAAAGCTCAACTCGGATTTACCCAGAACCTGGAAATCTTTGTATGAGGATAAATGAACACAATCCAGAGACTGTAACTCAAAACAGAAATTCAACAGACATTCATTCCAAGTTCAACAACACTCTTTTTGGAAGTCTCATTAGTTTGGTTGGGCTGTCTGTTCATTTTTTTCTTGTTTCATGTTTTGATGGCAGAATTCTTAGGTTTTCTGTGTATGTACATAGGGAGAGGGGGTAGGGAGCATGTTGCTGGAGATAGAACCAGGCTATATAGCCAGACTGGCTTTGAACTTATACTTTCCTGATGTCTCAGCGTCTAACTTGCTTGTATAAGAGTAGTTCGGACTACCATGCCATCATTACTTTATCAACTTTTAACTGAGAATTCCTTTAAAAATGTGTATCTCAATTTGAGTATATTTATTAATATCCATATTTCATTTGTGCATGTATATATTTATTTATTCATTCATTTATCATAATTCTGGGAATTGAACTCAGGACACTGTATATGCTATGCAAAAAATCTAACCCTAACCTACATCTCCAGTAAAAAAAATGTAAAATATCAATATAAATTAAACATGAGGTTCACATGGAGATCCAATTGAGAACTTGGGTATGACTAGCTTTCTAGTGCTTCCATTTGTAAGTGAGATCATGCCAGGAACACCCTATGTGCAGTAACAGGCTCAAAAGTACAGACATAGGTAAATGTAATACACAGATGTTTTGTTCACCACCATTGAAGACAAGCTAACGTTACAATCTCTGGATGGATGGAGATTTCACTACCATCTAATCATAGATGATGAATCCAAAGTGACTATATCATGTATTCAAAAGTTTCCATCGTATATTTGGTTTAAGCCAACAACCCCCCTCTTCTTTTGAATGACTAAATCAAGTTGCAATTTTTAACAAGGTATTATTGTTGTCACTTATTTGTAATTATTATTATTATTGTGTATGGTGTGTGTGTTTAATATGTGCATGTGAGTGCAGGCACACCTGACACAATAGCGTGATTGTGGACTTCAATATAATTTTTTGGATTTGGTTCTTCCCAACACATGCAGGATAGATTCTGGGGATGGAACTCAAGCAATGAGATTTGTATAGCAAGCATTTCTCTTTTGAACTATCGAATCAGCCTGCAAGTTGTCTATTTTTATAGTACTCTTCACATTTAAGATTACTTATGTTTGCATTAAAAACTATAACAGAAGAAATATATTTATGAAGATGATGAAAGCATTATGCTTATATTTCAAAACCATTGTAATAAAAATAGGTAAAGTCAATGCTAGAGTTTATTGACATTACAACTCACTTATGACATTCAGTCACATGTGAAAAAATTTCAATCCTCAAGCTAAACATCATCTTTAAATTCCAGTAATGTTCAATTTCATGGTTTCCTGAAAATCTCACCTAAATTAAATAAAACAAGTTATGAGAAGGGAAACCTTCTCTTATCCAGGGCAGTTAGATATAAGCTGGGGGAATTGTCTGTCCAGTTGTGGAATGCTGAGGTTACTTGATTTTGTTTCATCCTTTACACTCTAATGAGTGAGCTCAGAATAATACTAGTTATGATTTAGTATGGAAATAGTAAAAAGTAGTCCTATTTGAACAATTTAGTATCATCTACCTTATAGTGTCTGTGTATGTATGTGTGTGTGAGTGTGTGTGTGTGTATGTGTGTGTGTGAGTGTGTGTGTGTGTGTGTGTGTCATATATATGTGTATGCATGCATGTGGAAGTCAGAGGAGAATTCCAGGTATCATTCACTCATCAGACATAGTCCATCTTACCTATTTTGAAAAAGAATTTCTTACTCTTACTGACCTGAAGCTTGCTTACTAAGGAAGCTAGTGGTCCAGTGGGTCGCAGAGATCTACCTGACTCTGCCTCCCCAGCATGGGAATTAGAAGTGCAGCTCAATGAGTCATTCTGTTTACATGTGTCTGGGGATCATATTCAAGAACTGATGTTCCAATGAAAGAACTTTATCCACTGAGCCATCTTTCCACTCCTTGACCACTTTAAATGTATAGTCTCATTAAATACTTAGAAATCACATTTGTCATTACCATTCTACAGATAAACAAGCCAGGACAGGTTGAGAAAAATCAAAAGTTTGCATAACCAGTGATCACTGAATATGCAGGATTTCTGTGTCTAGTTACATACTTAGATCCCTGGGGTTTAGCAATAAAAGGTATTGAGAAGGAATTTCAGGTTAGGTCATGAAATACGAGTATGGATTCATATTCAAATTTACACTTTACAGTGTCTAGCTTTTAGCAGATTATTGATTTCATAAAGTATTTACATTGTTTCAAATGAGTAAAGGACCCTTTTTTCTTGTCGCAGATCAATTAACCCAGTTAGTGTATCAACCCTTATTTGTTTATTAAAATAGAAGTCTATTTCAAAGGCTATAATACCCCCCTAAGATCAGTAGAACCAACAACTAAAGTGAGATTATTTGTGGTAGAATGGAGTGAAGGCAAACTTTAATACCTTCTTTTTAATTTGTTTGGATTTTGAGATTATATTATTTTCTCCTTTTCCTTCCATCCCTCCAACTCCTCCCAATGCACCCCCATTGATTGATATATGTGTGTTTTATATGAGTATGTGCATGTGTGTGCACACGTGTGTTCATGTTTGTGAATGTGTATCCTAAATATATAAATATAACACTAAAAATAAATGACCCAGAGACTGATATTGGGCTTTAAACTTCAAGATGAGTATCAGAAAAGCAAAGCAGCTGGTTACTAGTTTCTTAGTTATACCTCAGACTGAATGGGCTGATCCTGACTGTAATCTCTCCTCAGCGTGAATGGAGAATGGATGCCTTTACTGGGACCTAGCTTCCCTATTGTGGGGATTAAAGGTGTAAGATATAATTCTCCTTTATACTGATTCACTATTGTGTAGATCTTGGTGGCTTTGAACTCAGAGAGATCCATCTATCTCTTAATCCTGAGTCTCTATAACTTGAGGCTGATTTTGCTTTTCTGAATCCTCAGTCAAGCTTTAATAAATCATAAATAATATACCACTACATATAAACACAACCTGCTCAGTGTGTATAGTGTTATTTACATGCATACATTTCCAGGACTGACAGTTTAGTATTGGATAATCAGTGGATGAACTCTTCCCTGGAGAAGACTGTTTCTCCTACTCTCAACAAAGCTTAGCTGTCTCTAGTTCCTTTATCTGGGGCTGGAGCCTCATAAGCTTGCTCCTTCTGTATTAGTGTGTCTATTGGTGTCATCCTCATACATGGCCTATGTTGACTGACAGACATGTTGGTGAAACTTCATGAGTCTGGGTTCTCTGACACAACTTTTGTGCTGAAGCACTTTGTTTCAGTGCTAAGCAGACATAATTCTTTAGTGCTGTAAGATGTGCTGGCCAGTTTAATAAGTCTTTAGAAACATTTATTGTAAATTACTAGCAATGAAGCAGAAACACTGCTATAAGTTAAGCAGAATTTTTAAGGTAAATTTCAAACTCAATAAAAAGCAATTCATTTTTTATTTTAGTAAAAAATGTCTTTGACAGAAAATATTTTCTTGCAAGTTTTTGATGTCTATTAAAATGTATTCAGTTAGCATTTTACTTTGTTCAGGAAAAATATTTCATTTTTGTCCAATAGATAATAATACAATTCTCTCAGTTTAGCCATGCAAGACTTTCTTCTACTGAAATATCTAGCATTTCTTTTTAGACCAAGCAGCTATTTCTTCTAGGCTCACACATCTTTAGCTCTTATATAATTTAGAGCTTATGTAGGAGTTATTGTACAGTCCTTTATAACCTGAACCAGAGGCTGCAGATAATGAGCATGCATGATAATCTGTAGATTGTGATGAAAAGTCTGCATCTCCCTGCCCAATTTGGAATCCACTTGAAATTAGTTATGACTCATAGAGCTTTATCCGCAAGGCCTTCTCACAATCTGTCTTCCATTCAGGGGAAATAAAATGAGCCTGCCCTGAGTGTCAGAATCTATAACTGCACACAGAATGAAGTACTCGCTTAAGTCAAGGCCAGCCTACAGGATTCAGTTTATACCAAAGACATTGTTCTGTGGATGCCCTATATATTACATTCATTACTCTGTGTTTTCTATTCCAGGACCTACTCTGCCCAAGACTCATGTGAAAACAGCCTCTCTTGGACTGGCTGGAAAGGCAAGGTCCCCTTTGCTTCCTGTGTCTGTGCCAACAGCCCCTGAAGTATCTGAGGAGACTCACAAGCCAGCAGAGGATCCAGCCAGTGTAAGAGCCTGTATTCAGAGTACAATATGATATAAAGCAGTATGCACTCAACATCATATCAGGCCATTGTGTTTACACCTTGCCTACACTTGAATGTGACAATAAAAGCTTTATATATAATATATATGTATATATATGTATATATAATACATATATAAGCTAACTAAAACCACATTTAGAAAATAAAAGGAAAGTTTCATTGGTTAAGGAACAGAAATTTTCTGTTCTAAGGGGAGAAGTCAAATATGATTAATTTAGAAAACTCAAAGAAAAATCAATGGTAAAGGGGAAATAGGAATTTTGAGAAGAAAAGTAAAAACTTTTTTTTATCAAAAATGTTCTATGAAAGAGATTGTAATCAAGCTACCTAAGGGCAGCTGTTTGGAATTCTAGTGTAATTCTGAGTAGTTTTAAAGAGGAAACATTTCAAAGAAATTTATAGAATTAACATATCAGATACTTTGACTACCAGGAAATAGTAAAGGGAAAACATAAAAAACAGATTAGACTACTATCTTTTTTTTGTTGTTCCCTCTCCCTCCCTTCCTCCCCTGTCCCCCAATCCTCCCAACCCATCACCCCCACTCCATCCCTCCTCCGCTCCGCAGGGACTACAAGGTATCTTTTTCCAGCACAGACTGTGAAAAGAAAATTTGCCACTGCCAGCTAGTTTCTGTTACCTCATGCACAAAGTGAGACTTACACCAAGTTTGCAAATGTTACAATGATAAATCTTCAATAATACCTGAGGATAAAAGCAGCAAGTGCAATCAGTCTCTGATAAGTCATGAAACTACCAATTTCCTTGACTAAAATTATTTTCATCAGAGATCTCATTGTCAAAATGAAAAATTATTTCATTTGAATAACAAATACTTTTCATGATTTTTAAAATATGAAACACTATAAAAATCATAAAGTAATATCAGCACATAGCAACCAATGAAATAAGTAATGTGTATTTTTGTCTGAATGTGTGGTAGAAGGACATTATATGCTTAATATACCTATATACCTATAAGATTACAAATGAAGATCCCTACTGTTCTCTATTCAGAATACAACTGTATTTCAGTGTGCATCTAGTCACATGATTTGTGGCGTATGTAAAATTAGATCAAAATACTAAAATTACTAAATGTTTCTGACATTAGAATTTCTAACTCTGATGTCAAATGAATAATATCAAATGGCCTATTTTATACTTTAGGTTGACTGAAAATAGTCAATGCAAAGGACATAGTATTAAAAACCATAAGAAACATATGAAAGGAAAACTAGAAACTGCGCTAATTTAAATCAACAGCTTCATATAGAATAATAATGTGACCTCCTGAATAATTTTAAATTTTCTAGTATTCATATTAAAAGCATTAAAATTGATAAAATGTATTTTAAGGCTGTCTTTTGCTTAACTTATTATTTACCAAGTTTATATTAATACTTGATAAATATGAAACAACTGTCAATACAGTATTTTTCCTATCATTTTCACATTATGCATTCAAAATTAGATGTGTGTCTTATATATGAACTACATTTGAATTTGTACTAACCATATTTCAATATTCAATAGTTAAATTCAGATACATAATCCAGACAACCTAAACAGCACATTTGAGAATAGGTGACCAAGGACCAGGTGTGGTGTCACATACCTTTAATCCTTGCTCTGAAAAGGCAGAGGCAGATGGAGCCCTGTTAGTTTGAGGCCAATCTGGCCTACATAGAGAATTCAAGACCATCCAGGAGCACATAGTGAGACCCTGCCTCAAAAAAAAAAAAAAAAGAAAAGGAAGAAGGAAGGAAAGAAAGAAAGGAAGGAAGGAAGAAAGCAGGTAGGCAGGCAAATAGGGAGTGGGAAATGATTGATCAAGTAATCATCTCACCACAATTTCATTCTTTTTATACAAAACAGTGTGTTGGACCAACAGTCTACTTTTCAATCCCTGCTCAGCTTTGAATGGTACATGGCCAACCTATTCATTAATGTGCTCATATTCCAAAACAAAGTCTTGGGTTAATACTGTGTGCCCATTTGTCTGCAACATTCCTCCATGGATGACAAGGCTTTATGAGAATCTTGTAGTCCAAATTTTTCTGAGTCTCTGGGGATGATGGACATTGACTTACTAGGATGGGAAGGGCTCTCAGACCATGGTAGTAAGTAATACTTCTTGGCCACATGGAGTACAAACCATCAATCTGGAGTCCAAGAACTGCCCCCTTGTTCAGGTCAACTGTTTCTGTGGGTTACACCAGCCCTGTCTATCCCAATCTCTATCACAAGTTCATCCAGTTAAAATACTCTGAGAATAGTTTTGGCTATATGCTCCCATGTAAAAGTCAAGAATAGTAAGTGGCGCAAGTAATAATAAGTGGATCCTTCATGGAAGGAGCCTATGAAGACACAGTATTAACTCTGTTCTCATTCTCTTTTCAGGTATATGAGCAGGATGACTTGAGTGAACAAATGGCAAGTTTGGAAGGGCTAATGAAGCAACTTAATGCCATCACAGGTTCAGCTTTTTGACACATATTGCAGAAGCACTGAGATTTTCTGGGAACTTTAAAGCATACCAATTATCCATAAACAGCACACCTGTGTCCAAAAACTCTAACCAGTGTACAGGTCAACCGTCAGGACCACTCAGTTAAGGAACATCTGGAGCAGTTCGGAAGGAATCCCATCCTACCTAGACATCAGGAATTGGACAAGGATGGCCATGAGGTCCCTAAGCAAAAGCAAAGATGCATCTTCACTGAAAAGTCAAGGCTGAAGTTGCTAGCATAGTTCTGGGTATTTGTCACTGCAGTGACTATTGTGTCATCACTGATGCCTACATTTTCTTTCAGTGATAACTTCCATTTTCTGTATAGGTCTAGTCTTACAAAATACAAGTGCATTATTCAAGCCTGTACCATGCCATAGCAAATCAGAAAATAAAAAACAACCTCACTGTTTTTATTTTCAACTTTAAACTACAAAACATTCATGGTAATTCTCTGATTACATAGCACCAAAGGACTGGATGTTTTTCTGGCAGCAGAAAAAGTAAATTAAGTGAACAAGCAAAAGGCAATGAATGCTTGTTTACAGCCCAATGATTCATCTCAAGTGGCAGATATTAGTGAGTGGGTGTAAAATTTTTACCAAGTTTAGCAAGTATTTGTAAATCCATCCATGATTAATGTTTATGTCTAGAGTATAGACACAAAAATCCTCAACTGGTGGCAATCTGCCAACAATACCACCTTTCTAGAAGGAAAGGACAATATGCAATCTTCTCAGACACATGGTGATTGTGAAATTAAGCTTGTAATATGATACTTTTCAACTTGAGTGGCTTTTGTGCCATTCCACACTGTGATGGCCTGTCTGAGTTTCACTAAGGCTTCTTCTTCAGGCATTTGGCCAGAAGCATTCTACAATCCTCCTTCTCATCATCCCCCTATTTCTTTCTCCTGGGCAAGTAGCCTTAGGTAAAATGGCCAACTTCATGAATCCTATATCCTGTGTCCCCAATATCCCTCCATGCAGATAGGAGACTTCCTGAGAGTAAGCTCAAAAGAAGGAAAAGGAGCATGAAAGACCGTTTCCAAGAGCACCTTTTCTTGAGCAATGTCACTTCCACCTATCACATCTTCACTGAGCTGCGTGAGGCAACATTGACTAATGTTCACCACAGGCTCTGTTGGCAAGGCAACCTTCCATACCATCCCTAAGACAGATTCAGGGAGGAGAGAGGGGTGGGTACCACTTGACATCTGACACATCATGTAGGTATTTTTCAAAGCAGCATCTTAAACTGTGGACTAGAATTTTAAACTATTGCCATGTTATCTACAGCTTGAAACTAGCTGAAATTAAGAACATTCTGTGCATTCCCTTTTAGTTTATGAATTTTCAGCTGCATTTGGAGTTAATCCCTATTTATGCAGCTGAGTCGCCAAAAGGGAGCTAGTTTGCATATTTATCAGTTAGGTGACTTGAAAACCCAATGAGAGTTTCAGCTGAATTATTCCTTTCAGCTCTGCCTTTGATTTCAAGCTTGAGTAGGTCATAATTTTAAAAGAGCATGGCAAGGATAGAATCTTTACAACCTAATAGCTCCTTTTATTAGGTGGGTAATTATATATGAATCCCTGAATGAAATATTTTGAGCAAAATGGCACTGTAACAGAAATAATAATTCAGATTATTTTTTTACAGTTTTATGTCGGGAAAGGAAATCTGATGTCAAAGAGAGGGCTGGTTCAAATGGTTCATTAGAAAGTCTGGTCCATTTGCAAAATGTTTCCTTCAACAAGAGTGCTTGTTCAATTTACTGAGATTTTTCTGGAAGTACTTTCGAAGAGCTATGTGATGTTACTTAATGGGACAGAAGGCTTTTGTTCAATATCTGGGCACTTAGGTAGACAACCCTGACCTGAAACAAAGCATTTCTTAACATAGCATTGAATACTTTAACAAATCACCCACTGTTGCCAACTGGAAAATATTTACTAAGCTAAGTTTCTCAAAATCCTAGAATATGCTCCCTTTTTTAGTTTCTGTAAAGCTGAACCACTTTTTTTGAGGCATTTGATACCCATCAGAGTCAACTCAAGTTTCCACGTGGGGTATGTTACAAACCTCAGGTTTTAGTGAATAAGTTTTAATGGAATGTTGCTATAAATTCTAGGTGGACAGTCAAGACAACTACAATTTACAAAATTCTAGGCCTTTCTGCTTGGTCAGTAATTTCCAGAAATGTAATCTTTAAAAATCATTGAAAGTATGTTATCCATTTTCATTGGTAGCTGTATTTCTGCTCCATGCCCTTGAAAATTTCAACAAATGAATATAATAGTTTAATCAGCTACTGAGTCTTATAAGTCATATTATCATGTCTTGTATATACAGTGGAATCCATTTACACATACTCAGGAGACTGATATTAACCTGGTGATTTTAATGTACAATTAGTTCAATGTGGCTTCTTCAGAAAGCTTGTTCCCATATCCCTTCCAATGATTCACATGTGAACAAAACATACCCAGGATTCCAGGTGAAAGTTTAATTCTCTAGTCTCCTTTGACAAGAAAGACTCTGTGGCTGGTGTGAGGCAGTTTGGTTTGATTCCTTCTGAGTCCAGCTCATGGCGTGCAGGACACTTTAAACTTATAAATTTATTTGACTCCCATAGGGTAAGGCTGACCATGTAGCCAGCATCTCTGCTACTCAGAATCAATTCTCTGTGAAAAGGAAGAAAATAAAACTTGGCAGGAGGACTTATGTTTCCACACACTATATTGAAATTCAAAGCAAGAACCTGCTCTTGAAGAACTTTTTAATTTTTTTTCTGTTTCATTTTGATAAAAAAGCTATTCTCATTCTTCCAGAAATTTTTGCATTTGTTTAAACTGACAAAAGTGAGGATAGCTCAAAATATATACAAAACCATTTTTGTAATGCTCCAGTCAAAATGTAAGTATTTCTTAGTGACTTATATTCAATGGAGAACTGGTTATAGCTGCCTCCATATAGTAGACCCATAATATTCCATAACATTTAAACAATACAGCTTTATCTTTGGCTATTATTAAATACATACTCAGTTGAATGACCCAGAAATAAAGAAGCCAAGTTATTGATGTAAGCAGACTCACTAAGGTTTCCTTTTGGGACTGGATGTAATAATAGTTTGGGTTTCTTCAAAATAAAGGTTGATGAAAATAAGGAGTATGCTTCATGCTCTGCAAAGATAGAATTTACAGAGAGTCCAGACAGCATTTTAAAGCTAAAGCTCACCATTCACTAGCTTTCCAAATAAACAACTTCTCCAGCGCAGGTCTTTCTGGTACCCTTACCCCAAGAGTTTTATACTGAGATGACTGTTGATATTTTCCTCTCCTCTCTGGAGCCTTCTGACTTAGTTCAAATAAATGTCTTAAAGCCACCCATCAACGAAAAACAATGTGTCAGTTATGATAGGTGAACTGTCCATGCAATCCCCAAAAAGATTACTTAAGATGCTGCCTAACATTTTACATAAAATCATATCCAAAGCAAAGAATTATGGTGGTTTTCGAATGCTCATTTCCAGTCAGTGACACACAGGAAAAAGGGAAACCTCCAAGTCTATAATGTATTTAAAGAAAATAAAAGTAATACAAACTTTAAAAAGATGAAGAACAGCAATACAGAGAATAGAAATTCTCCATTTTACACCTAGTTCTCTTTATGCATCAGTCTATTTCCAAGTATTAGTATCATAGCCTGGGATACCTGGGTATACCTACTTATGATTTGAAGATGACAGAGTCCAGGGCACTAAGGATCTGCAGCAGCCACAACACAGTCCAATACAAACTTCCTTTCCCAAAATCAAATTCAAAGCAATATTCTCTTCATAATTTGTATTTATCTAATGACTTTCAAAAATCATTTTAACATTACTCATAAGAGCTTTGCACTTTTGTCCCTGTTTTTAAAGTTATGTGGACACATTAGAAAATCACAGATAGCTGGTTTGTGTGACACCCCATCCAACTGAAAATATGTGTCCTCATGCCTCAGTCTACCTTGTTAGAAACATTTGCCTTGTTAAAGAAACGCTCTATTTCTGGTCAGTGAGGATATATAGGTGACAATACTATGCCCATATCAGCAAATGAGTGTAACGTCTGCTCTGTCTCATTCCTTTGACCATTGCATAGCTTTTCCTGGGAAGACTTCTAGCAACACTCTGAAGGGTGTTTCTCTCTTGCTCTCAACTTTGTACATTGCCATCTTATGATTCTGTTGTTGTTGTTGATAGGAGAGCAACAGCAAAACTGGACAAGAAATCATAACTACAGAGGCATGGGCCAAGGGATCTCACTGTGTGTTTGATGTGTATTTTCAAGATGCAAGAAAGGAATGTTGGAGAGGAGGAAAAATGTGTTTTTTATTATTGTAGGGTGAACCTGACAATTCACTTGGTGGATTGGCAGCTTGTTTGGGGGAAGGGTGGGTGGGTCTGAGGGGTACTTTTTATAAGTAATATTTAATTTATTATTTAGAAGTGGCTTCTTTTGGATAATTTATGATACAAAGGGAGATGTGGTTGGGATCTAGCATTGGCTGTTAAAGCTGCAGTGTTTTGTATTGCAGAGGGACAACTTTAGAAACGAACTGTCCACTGCTGAGCATGAGGAAGTGTCCAGGCCAGGCAAAGCCTTCACTGAAGTTCCACCATTACCACCTTCTCCTTTCCTGGGGTTTCAAAGCAGATCACACCAAAATGAAAATAACTCGGATAGCATTTTTCAGATTAATGCTATTCATTCTCTTAAAGGGCTTTGCAACTCAAATTGTTAGTGTGATAGTGATATGTTTATTTGGTAGAAATGGGTACACTACAGCTTTAACTAGCCTTAGTGGAAAGGGAAACTTTTTGTTGTTACAAAACACCTTTTAATCAAAAGATGTTTTGAGCCTACAAAGAGTTTCTTGGAATTGTCAGCCTCTAGCATTGTTAACCAAATTAGAGTAGTGATTGCAATATTTAAGTGTAAATGTTGTTCTATGAGAAAGGAAGCTTGCTTAAGGTTTAAAAGCGATGACTGTTTCTACACATGAACTTGTATACACTACATGAGGAAAAGGGGGTTTTGTAATCACTGTAGAACAGTCTCATATTCATTTTTTATAGAAATGTTATTCCAATGGTGCATTTTTTGTTTAATAAATAAAGTTTTGATACAAAATTCTTTATTCACTTTATTCTTGGTAAATGACTCTTGTCCTCCAGTCCCCAGCTAGCATTTGCTCTAACTGGTCTGTACCCACACTCAGGATACTTATGATCTTTTACTACATCAAGGGTAGTACTTTCTCATGTCGTATTACATCCTTATACATTTTTTCGGCATATTCTCAGTTTGTGCTCTATCATGGCTGCTTACAGCTACACCAGTTTATTGCAGCACTGCCCCAGATTTCCAAAACTTGATTTACACTCCTTCATGGGAGAAATACAAAAGGTATATTGTACCTTACACATGGCAGCTAAATAGTTCAAGCTCTTTCCTGGAGCTCAGTAGTTCTCAACCCCATAGGGATAGGGATAGGTCATAACCCCATAGGGATGGTGCATCAGATATCCTGCATATCAGATATTTACATTATGATTCATAACAGTAGCAAAATTACAGTTATGAGGTAGCAATGAAAATAATCTCATGGTTTGGGGTCACCACAACACATGGGACTCTATTAAAGGGTCTTAGCATTAGAAAGGTTGAAAACTACTGCTCTAAATAGAGACAACTCTGAGAACTGATCAAACTTGCTCCCAACCAGGACAAAAATTCTACTCCATAAACAGAGGCAGAAGACGTCTCACATTACTCTCCCACTGGCTCCCACTACTGGAAATGTGTCAATATTTACCTTTCCTTCTTTTCTCTTCGCCCTTACTGTTCTTGTCCCTTAATACTTTCAACTGGGGGCATTTGTGGTAAAGCACTTTCACACCCATCTTCATGGCTGTTCTTGTTTTTGAAGAATTAACCCAAGACAAGGTCATTATAAATCTCCCCCTCCCTCCTTCCCTTCCTTCTTCCCTCTCTCCATCCCTCTCTACCCCTTCCTTCCCTCCCTCCCTCTCTGCCTCTCTTTCCTTAGTCTCACTGCTCCTGTCCCTGAAGGCAGGTCTCTCCCCTTTCCTCTTTTATGATTCTTTTACTTAATTAAAAAAAACTTTGTTTGAAACATTCTGTCTCAAGCAACTTCTTAAAAATCACAACACCCACTCTTAGCAATAACTTCTGCAGACCTTGGTTCTTTCTATTGAGCTGTGACCCACACCTTCATCACTGATGATTATAGGACATCTGTCTTCCTAGCATATGGGGGGAAGGGCTCTGAGTACCAGCCTCAGTGTCCCCTCAGGATTCAGAAGAAGGCTTTCAAGAAGCATGTGACTTAGAAGGATCTGAGGGTGAAGTGAACTGTCACTAAAGTACTTTTCTGCAGCAGTTGCTGTGTTCTTTTGGTGCAGCAAAGTTTCCAGCTTACACACACACACACACACACACACACACACACACACTCAGGCAAGTCTCTCAGCTTGAATTTCTTAGGGTCAAAAAGCAGATAAGACCTGTCCTGAGGTACACTGTCAGCAATTTTATGGCCCTGGGGAGTTGTGGCCAGAAGGACACCTGGGTAATATCTAGAAGTCTTCTAAATTCTAAAAGGGGAAAAGCAGAGTTGGTGCATGATACTACATTCTTAGGTTGAAAACCTGTATAGGTAACCTTAGGTGAGGGTTGGTGTAGGGAATTAATAGATTTTGGGGGGTAGAGCAGAGGTTAACTGAGGTTAGCTGTAGGGGACTATAGGACACCCAATCTCCTTATCAGGAAGGACTAAGAGTCAAACAAGCTGGGATGCACCACCCCTATAATGAAGGTCTGGAATGTGATCCATGTGAAGGACTCCTTTCCTCACCAAATGTCCTGCCAAATAGAAGACAATTGCAAGGAGATGATTTATGAGTCTATCTCAGGGAATAATGTGGAGATTAAACTGTGGGAACCAAGGTTATTGACTATGTTAATAGATTTCTTCCAAGAGGTCCCACAGAGTTGGGGGTAGTCACTCAATACACCAGTACATGGCAAATTGTGCCCAATAGATTGAGAGGCAATCAAGAGATTACATATACATATTACATGAGATTACACACTACAGTGAAGGTGTTGGGGAAACATCAAGCAATAGTGAGCACAATATTTCAGCAATAGTGAGCAAAAGTTTTCATAGTCGATGGTCCTGAAGACCTTGTATGGTAGGATTGATCCACCATCAGATAACCATGCCTTTGGTGGGTTGACATCTGAACATTAGTTGCCACCTGCTGTAACTCTCATGGCCCCTGGCACTGACACAAATACAAACCTGCTCAAAGCAAAATTTCTAGGTCATCAGAGCATGGAATAATGAGAAGAGCCAATCTTCTCCTAGTGGGTCACTAGGAATGAAGGCAAGTGGTACCATTTCCACTGCCAGCCCTTGATTCCTGAACCTTGAGACATGGCTATGGGGAAAAGTGCCATATATTGGATACTGATTAAAAGAACACACAGCTTTCTGTACCTCTCCAAAACCAGACTGTTGTCATTTAAATGGCAGTGTAACTGTATCCTCTAGTGGCCATTACACCATTCTATGAAGCTGTCTGCTTCGGGATGGTGTGGACCATGATAGCACCAGTGGAATCTACATCCATGGACCCACTGCAGCACTTTTTGGCTGTGAGTTCTTTGATCAGAAGTGATGCTGTGTGGAATACCATGATGGAGGTCAGGATATTCCATAATTTGCTGATAGTAGTTGAGGCAGAAGCGTTATGTACAGGAAATGAAATGTCATAACCAAAATAAGCATGAATTCCAGTAAGGACAAAGTGCTGTCCTTTCTGTAATGGGAGTGGCTCGATGTAGTCAATGTTAGAGTCACTCACTGTCTGATAACACTATGAACTGGTGCTTGGTATCTGCTGCCGACAGGCATGACACTCAATAGCAGTCATATCTAGGTCAGTCTTGGTGAGTGAAAGTCTTTGTTGTCAAACCCATGTATAACCCCTCCATGGCTGCCACCATGACCATTTTGTTCAATGGCCCTTTGGAGAAAGATAAGAAGGGCTAGGGAAAGAGGATGACTACAAACATATTGGATCATCCTATTTGATTACTGAATTCTTCCTCTACTTAGGCCACTTTTGGCAAGCGTTCATATGGAACACGTGTATCTTCATGTCCTTTGCCCACATACATATTCCCAGATGTCTCATCAATTTTCCAATCATGCTGTTTCTAAATCCCTGACCATTGAAGTATATGACTTGGGGGGAGGATTTTTAATTTTTTTTATTATTTATTCTTAAGTTTAAATTTAGATTAGAAACAAGGTTGCTTCACATGTCAGTTCCAGGTCCCTCTCCCTTTCCCTCCCCTCCTCCAGTGCCCTCCCCCAAACCCCTTACTATCCTATCATTTCCCCAGGGAGGGTGAGGCCCTCCATGGAGGTGTTCATAGTCTTTACTTTTGTCCAGAGCAGGGCCTAGACCCTCCCCCAAGAGTTCAGGGTGAGAGTGAATCTCATATTGTTGGATGGGAGTCCAAAGTCCATGTGTATACTCAGGATGGGTACGGATCTACTGCCCAAGGCTCAATAGATTACCTAGGCCTCCTCACTGACACCCCCATTCAGGGGGTCTTGATCAGTCCCATGCTGGATTCCCAGGCTGATGCCTGGGATTCAAGAGTTAACCCTTGTCAGGTCAGCCGTTTCTGGAGTTAAACCAGCCCAGTCTTAATCCCTTTGGTCATCAGTCCTCCCTCTCTGTTACTGGCTTTCTTGAGTTCAGCTCAGTGCTTAGCCATGGGAGTCTGCCTCTTCTTCCATCAGCCACTAAATGAAGGTTCTGTTTCTCAGACTCTCTGGCCATGGGATTGTAGGCTGGCACTCCCCAGATCTATGTCTAAAATCCATATATGAGATAGTACATGCCATGTTTCTCTTTTTGTGACTGTGTTACCTCACTCAGGATGGTTTCTTCTAGTGTCATCCATTTGCCTGCAAATCTCAGGATTCCATTATTTTTTCTGCTGAATAGTACTCCATTGTGTAAATGTACCACATTTTCTCTATCCACTCTTTAGTTGAGGGCATCTAGGTTGCTTCCAAGTTCTGACAATTACAAATAATGCAGCTATGAACATAGTGGAACAGACATCCTTGTTGTATGAATGAGCATCTTTTGGATATATGCCTAAGAATGGAGTTGCTGGGTCTTGTGGTAGGTTTATTCCCATTTTTCTGAGGAATCTCCATACTTATTTCCAAAGTGGCTGAACAAGTTGGCACTCCCACAAGCAATGGAGGAGTGTTCCCCTTTTACCACATCCTCTCCAGCATGAATTGTCTTCGGTGTTTTTGATTTTA